ACATTCTGAACGGAACTACGGGTGCGACAAAGCAAAGAGAAGTAAACACTTTTATACGTCTATGTGTGGAGAACGGCATCGGTAATAGAGCGAGACAGTCATGAAAGCGGCTACAATCCATGTGTACCAGAGACGACGTGAACAAAATAAGGACAGTTCATACTGAGCATCAACGATGGCTGGAAACTCAATGCTGAAGACGTTCAAATCTTGGAGATGAACATATGCATGCGATTTAGGAAACAAATGTTTTTCAGAGGGAGGGGGTATTCGGTTGTTTGAGTAAGCTAAGGGCTACTCTCTCGGTTCTGAATGAGGATAAGAGACAGTAAACCATGCTGCCAAAATCAACAAAACGTTTGTGATATGTTTCATGGAGTGATAGCACCTCGGTGGCCGACCAACGCTTGCAGACTAGTAGCATGACAATGGTTCCTCATAAGCGTTTAACCGACAGACTTGTCATCTATCAAGCTGGATTCGATGTGCCACGGAAGTGGTGACATTCCGTTAACTGAGTTAAAACGGAACGCGGAAGATGAGCGTACTGTATGTACCAAAGGATATCACTGGACTCAGCCTCGTGCTATTGTAGGTGCATGGTCAACCCATGAACAATCATACCATGGCGTATTCGCCTTAAGAACCGAACCCTGGCACAGCAGAAGCAAACGTGCCCTAGGGAGCTGTTCGAGAGGGACACCTTCTAGTTAAGGCGTAGAATTCTGATTCGACCTGGATCGTAATGCGAAAAAACAGTGGGAAGATACACAAGCTGTATCATAAGACGGATAAAATATAACATGCAGTGCAGAAAACCCAGAGAACAGCGGACAGCATGCCCAAAAGGAAAAGTATGGTGGTGTGGCGAACTGCGCTTCAGGTAATGCAGAACTTCCATGATGATGGCTCTAAACAACGAGTGTGGGAAAACTGAACTATCAGCCGAAAATCACAGACGGAGTAAGATGCATGAAATTGAGAGTATAACACGTTTCAGGTTTGGCTAATACATGGCATGAGGAGTTGCTCTCGCTCCTCGATCGTCTTTAAGGACCGCCGTCGTGAACTGGCGACTACCTTGAAGCCTGTTTGGCACGCAGATATACACCGACCATGAAGTCAGACGACTCGCCTTTCAGTAGAAATGGCGGTCTTAGTTATGAGTGACTCCATACTTAAATTATGGCAGCGATAATGACGAGGGAAACCAGTCTTAAGAGACCAATGAATAGCGTGATCAATGCCATTTGCGAATGAATGAACAAGTGATTAACAGAACGAAAAAACAAACAAATGAATGGGCCTATTCATGGTAGATTTGAAAACAGATCACATATGTTGTAGTTGGATCTGGTTCGTAAATAGAGCAACCAGAGCTAGTGGAACTGCGACTTTTCAGCCATCACTCATCGCTTCCAATTCGTCAGATGGAAGTCATTTTCAAGTCAGAGGCAACATAAATATTTCCTGATCAGCGGAAGTTGTCTGTTGATATTTTGGATAATGTGGCAGACGTTGGGCAGAGATCCATTGTCATCCATTGCATTTGATACAAGCCAATTTTGCACTCTCTCTGTTAAACAAGAATTACTAAGTCTGTAGAGTGATGGAGTGCAAACTGACAAATTGCGGATCTGACTTCCCGGTTCGGTTCACCAAACCCTGTGTGGGAAAGAAACGGAGTTCCGAGGCCATGTTTGCCACAGAGTTGCAGACTGTTATCAAAATAAGGCCTATCTGGCTAATAACATAGAAACGGAGATCAACATCGCACAATAAGGTTCAACAAAGGTACCACAAATGGCCCTCAGTCATAATCGTGTAAAGAAGATCAACATTCCAACGGTTACTAACCTTCCTTTTATTTTCATTGTGTTTTTAAGGTTTTAAGGAGGGGATGGCATCAGGTCAGGAACGCCAAAACAGGAGAGCCGCCGTATATGAGGACAGGGAGCGGCAGAACGGTAGCACAGCGTTAAACCAACA